GCGAGGTTTTTAAAAAAAAAAAAAATCACTATGTCTTGCCTTGAATCCAGGTATATAGCAGAGTTCCTAGTTTCACCAAAGCCCCTCATCGCTTCATATTATCAGTTTTTTAAGTTTATTTATTTACTTTGAGAGAGAGCAAGTGCGCATGTAGAGAAGAAGCAGAGAGAAGAAAACAGACTCTCAAGCAGGCCCTGTGCCATCAGTGCAAAGCCCAATGTGGGCCTGACTCCTGAACCACGAGATCATGACCTGAGCTGAGCTCAAGAGTCTGACGCTTAACCCACTGAGCCACCCAGGCACCCCCAGAACTCTTTTTTCAATGTGATGAATAAAAAATATCTTAATTGCAAGAAGTTTGAGCATCTTTTACATCTTTTCAGATGTTTATTAGCCATTCTACATTTCTGTTATGTGCTTATCCTATGTTTGGATTTCACTGGGGCATATTTGACTTTTACTTGTTTATAGGAATCCCTTTTGTATTTTCTTATGTATTCTTGACACCAATCTCTTCTGTTATATGTATATATATATATATATCTCTCTCAATCTTTTTCATTTGAATCATTCTGATCCTGGTTTTTGCTACTTACTAGCTTTGTGATTTGGGGGCATCACTTGGGTATTCATTTGACTTCCACAGAACCATTTTTTCACCATTGTAAAGTGAGAACGTAGCACCTCTTAGTTACTGTGTCACTGTGAAATGCCATTGACAAAGTGTATGAGCCGTGTGATTTTTGGGTTCCTCATTTGATTTCCACGAGCCATTTTCTTGGCTGTGAAGTGCGAGTATACTAGTTTTTAAGTTTATTGTGAAATGCCAATGAAAGAGCATATGAAAGTGCTTTGGAGAGTAAAGAACACCTTCCAGTGTAAGGCATTTTTCCTTTCTTTGGCTTTATTATGACTCACCCCTATGAGCTGACTTTTCTGAAGGATGTTACATCTCCACAGATTGATCAAACTCTTAAGAGTCGGGTGTCACAACATAGCAATTGTCTCTTTGTGTTCTACATTCTTTCAGGGAAGGAAAGAGATGTGTAAACAAGATACGCTTACATTGAACTCTTGTGTTCTTGGAAGGTGTTGGGTGGGATGGAGGTGGAGGAGAGCAGTATCAGGAGACTCTCACTTTGCCACTCAAAATGCCTGCTGAAGGAGTGACACAGTAGAATCTGGCCATTTATGGAACCAGGTATCTACAGGGTTAGAATTAGCCTGCCTATTCTTACCGTTATGGTCCACTTCTCAAATAGAACACAGCTTCATAGGCAGTAGTTCTATCCCCCCACAGTAGGGAAGTATGAGGATATAGTTTCCTATCCTGGTTACCTTTTGCAAACAGATGATTGACTAAAACATACTACCCTATGCTTTGGGGACAGGCAAATTCAAATGCTACCTCAGACCTAGATAACCCTGTGTTTCTACCCTACGTAGCATGCTGTAGAGGGCCCTTTCTTTCGCCATCCCCTTCATGACTACTCTCCCAAGTATCCAGGACTCAAGAATTACCTGATGAAATATCTTGAATCTGCTTTTGAGGCCTGTAGAGCCTCTTTCTGAGTCTGTTCCTCCGAAGATGGATCAAGCCGTTAGATTCTACCCCTGAATGTGTGTAACTAGATCTCAGATGTGGCCAAGGGTGACTCCTTGAGAGAGATGTTCCCAGAGCTTGGGTGCACTAGTTTTCACATCTGTGCACAAGGCTTTTTCAGGTGGAGGAAGGGACTGGTGTGTGGGGAAAGAAACGAGGTGAATCTGGGGCCAGGGTCTTCCACTTGGACTTTTGCCCCAGCCTTGCAGCTGTTGGGGGCAGGTCTGCCCAGAGGAGCCTCTCCCTTCTAACCATCTGCTTATTTTATGGGGGGGGGGGGGGGGGGGGGAGCCATTGGGGCATGTTTTCTTCACCACCCATTTAGAGGCTGAGTATAGCTGGCTCAATATAGACCCCAGTTAATGTCTGAGAATAATTCTCAAAAACAGTGGGGTGGGGGTGGAATGGGTGAATTTCCTGAAAGGAGAGTATCTGTGCATCTTCCTCTGTCTCTCCCCTGGGTAGGCAGTGCTGCTGATGCTTAGTGAAGAGGAGGAAAGATTCTGCTGACACACTGTATTTTTATGAGAGAAGGCTAAGGGTTCCCTTATCTCTCCACACAAGGCACGTCTGCCTGCAAAGGGGCTGTCTGCTTCTTAGGGATTCCTTCGTCGTTCCATTTCTTTTCTGAATGTTTTAAGGCACAGTTTTGGTGCATTCCTTTCTGTTGTCTAGAGCCGGGGGGGACGTCATAATATATCAGGGCTCTTGCTTAAGAGCTTAAATTGGGCGCTGGCAGCTGGGATGTGGGGGAAGAGAGCTTTCCAGGGACAAGTGACCTGCTTGTTCAGCCAATGAGAAGCAGGTTAGAGAAATGATATCACCAGACAGGCTTTATTGTTTGATCATCTCATAAAAGCAGGATTGTGTCTGGCGACTTAACCCTTTTTTAGGTATTTCGGTCTCACCCAACTCTCTGGTATGTGACCTCTGGATTCCTTTTCCCAACTGTCTGCTGTGAGACCACAGAGATTAAGGATTTAAATTGGTGATGAAATTTGGAGAGTTGTGAACCATCGTTTTAAAACTACAAATTATTAAAATTTAGAACCACAGCTAGGATGGGAATGTTAACTACTCTGTGTTTAGAGAGCACATCTAAAGCAGATACCAGTCTAGTCGTATTACACCAGGCTTTTACTGGATAGACTTGGAAGAGAAAGAGAGTTAGAGGGGAAAAAACATTGAGCCTTTAGTCTATTTTAATCTACTTAAAGGGGTCTTACTAAGTATTTCCTGTTTTAGAGGAATTGGAATTGGTTCTGCAAATTTGGAAAATATCACTGATTCTGAGACCAATTTTGAGTAACAGATATTTGTAGTGTTTGTTTATATTGTACCTCTTTATTATCCTTTTCCCCATAAAAATGACCATCATTTTACTTCCTCATGCTTCCTTTTCTTCACTGGTAAAATGCGGGTGATGATCCTACCGTATCCCACAAAGGAGTTGAGATAAAATAAGCTAATTTATGTGATTTTAGAGTGTGCTACACATGTATTATAATTAGGTCATTCATTTTTTTCAGATTGCATATTCATTCATTTGTTCAGTAGACTTTTTCAAACCCTTCTTGATGCTGGGCATAGATGCAGAGATGGATGTAGTTCTTACCCTTAAGGAGTTTAAAACATTATGAGGCAGATAGACAACAATAATAAAAGTGTCTCATGTATCTGTCGCATTTACCATGTCCCAGGTCCTTTTCTAAGCACCTTAATGTATACTAGTTCATTTAATCTTGATATAACCCCATGAAGCAAGTATTGTTATTAGCTTCGTGTTATACAGGTAAAGAAATAGAAGCGTAGAGAGGCTGAGCTGTCTTGGGTCACACAGCCAGTGGTAGAGTTGGGACTTGAGTCCAGGCTGTGTGCCTGTAGAGTCCATTCACTGAGTCTGTGTTGACCAACACAGTACTGACTAGCTATCTATAGTTTTTGAGGACTTGAGATGTGGCTTGTCCAAATTGAATTGGGCTGCATTTGTGAAATACACACTAGATTTCAAAGACTTAGTATGAAAAATATGTATAAAATATCTCATGTTGAAATTACATGTTGCAGTGATAATATTTTGGGTATTCTGAGTTAAATATACTAGAATTAAGTTCACTTTATTTTTGTGGCTACTAGAACTCTTTTTTTTTTTTTAACATTTATTTATTTATTTATTTATTTATTTTTTAATTTTTTTTTTTTTTCCCAACGTTTATTTATTTTTGGGACAGAGAGAGACAGAGCATGAACGGGGGAGGGGCAGAGAGAGAGGGAGACACAGAATCGGAAACAGGCTCCAGGCTCTGAGCCATCAGCCCAGAGCCTGACACGGGGCTCGAACTCACGGACCGCGAGATCGTGACCTGGTTGAAGTCGGACGCTTAACCGACTGCGCCACCCAGGCGCCCCAACATTTATTTATTTTTGAGAGAGAGAGAGAGAGACAGTATGAGCAGGGGAGGGGCAGAGAGAGAGAGGGAGACACAGAATCTGAAGCAGGCTCCAGGCTCCGAGCTGTCAGCTCAGAGCCTGACATGAGGGGCTCGAACTCATGAATCGCGAGATCATGACCTAGGCCGAAGTCTGAGCTTAACCAACTGAACCACCCAGGCGCCCCTGTGGCTACTAGAACTCTTAAAATTACATATGTGGCTTGCATTTATGGCTTACATTACATTTCTCTTGGATTGTGTTACTCTAATCGTTCTAATGAAATAACAATAATAATAGACATTTATTGAGCACTTACTAAGTGCCACATACTGGGCAAATACCTTTACACTGTTCTAGTGAAGTCTCAAAATAATGCTGCTTATTATCCCCATTTATAGAAGGGGAGAAGGTTTTGAGAAAGTAATTTATCTGAGGTTAGTCAACTAGTTAATGACAGACCCCAAATTTGAAACCTTACATGTCTGACTCAAAAGCCTGTACTCAACAGCACACTGTAATACCATTTGAAATCTCGGGGCATTTTCTTTGTTTTTATTTTTACAAGAATATTTAATACTGCATACTTCTGTAATTGGCATGTAGAAGTTCAGAATAAAAACCACTAAGTCATAAAATGGACATCCCAGATCAAAATCTCTTTTCAGACCCTCAGCCCTCAGTGAGCACTGGCGCAGTTGAACCCTAAGATGAAGCAATGTGTCAGCCTGTACAAATTGCATTTAGTTTTCATTCCAGTAGTTTCTCAGGTCAGTGGGCAATTTATGTCCCGACCCTCTTTGTCCAATAGAGGAAGAGGGACAGTGCAGCTTTCCTTAGTTGTTTAGTTCTCTTGGCTAATAAGAAGAAAAAATTGCTTTCCATTTCATTGTCCCATGAAATGCTATTTGTGTTTGAAAGAGCAACAAAACGCGGTCTAATGACCCCTGACTTTTCTTTCTTCTAGAGCAAAGACTCTGGCGGACTGAAGGCGGCTATGATTGAGTTGGTGGAAAGGTTAAAGTTCAAGAGCTCAGATCCTAAAGTAAGTATTGTTTTGGAATTGATCTGGTATTGGTACTCCAAGTATTTCGTTCTCCTTGAGCTAAGTTCTAGGGATGTTAATGATCATCTATCTGAACGTCGCATCAAGATCTAATTAAGTCTGCCTATCAGAAGCATTGTTCTCATATGCCTAGAGATAAGTCATCTGTTTTTTCCCTTCTCTGTTTTATGACTTACAACACATAATCATTAATTGTTTTCTCTGAACTGCAGACAAGTGCATTTTTAATCTTCCTTTAACAGGCCTTTGAGACTACTGTCCTTTGTGCCCATTTAATTCAGCCAAAGGCATCCGAGGTACTGATCAGCTTAATGCTGGGGACTGGAACAGGCTCCAGACTTTTCCAGTTGGTGTTCAGCACTCGCGTCTTGTCTCTCTGCCACTTACAGGAACCAGCTGCCACCACGAATGCTTTTGTCCTCATGACCTCGAGTCTGGTCTGGGAAATGGTTTCAGCTTCCCAGCTTTCTTTGCAAGATGTTAGGAGCTGTAGGATTGATATTCTGGGAGATTCCATACCAGGGTGGGGGTGGACTGGGAACTGAACATGCCGGAGGGATTATGACTAACACAGCCTCCCTTCTCCTACCCGGAGACTTACTGTGGCACTACTTGGTATCGATGCCAGCTGGCTCTCCTGACAGAGCCTCTCACAATTAAATAGGGAAAAGAGCACAATTTTGTTTCACGTTTTGTATCCCCTACCTTTTTTTTTTTTTTTTTTTTTTTTTTAATTTAAAGTTCTTCATATGGTGAATAGACTAGCATTTTTTGAGTACCCACTGGGAGCCAGACACTGTGCTGGGAGCCTGACATTCCTTTTTTAAAAATTGTGGTACAGGGGTGCCTGGGTGGCTCAGTCGGTTAAGCGTACAACTTCGGCTCAGGTCATGATCTCACGGTCCATGAGTTCGAGCCCCGCATCAAACTTTGTGCTTTGTGCTGACAGCTCAGAGCCTGGAGCCTGTTTCAGATTCTGTGTCTCCCTCTCTCTCTGACCCTCCCCCGTTCATGCTGTCTCTCCCTGTTTCAAAAATAAATAAACATTAAAAAAAAAATTAAAAAAAAAAAAAGAAAAAAAATTGTGGTATAATATACATAATGAAACTTACCCCTTTAACCATTTTTAACTGTATGGTTCAGTCTCATTAAGTACATTCACATTGTTGTCCAACCATCACCACCACCGCCATCCATCTCCAGAACTTCTTCATCATTCCAAACTGAAACTCTCTGCCCATTAAATGCTTCTTATTCCCCCTGACTTAAATTCTTGTGATTTTTGCAACAACCTGGTAGAGTAGCTTATTATTCCCATTTTATTGATAAAGACACTGAGGCTTAGGGAGGTTAGGGCCATTTGCCCTGAATCTAGTATAATTTAAAGCTGCGATTCATACTGACTCCAGTAGCTGTGCTCTTTCTTTTATGTCATGCTGCAGACCAAGCCCTGGGATTCACCTCCTTTCTATCCTCTAATCACATTGTGCCTCGATTTTCTAATCAGAAACACTATCAGGGCAGAGTCACAGACAATGACAGGCTTTTCAAAAGGTGGCTGTGGTCCTGAATCTGCAAAATTTCATATAGCATCGACAGCATTGGAACATTGGTAGTATCTCTTATCTTCTGGTATAGTTAGGGTTCCAGAGATAGAGAGGATCTTGACAGAAAAATATTGGGGTAGCCTTCATCAATTTTCTTAGCTCAGAGTAGAAAGACCCCTGGTATGAGTAGTTTTCCTTAAGTGAAGATGAGCTAATTAATTATTAAAGATTACTGAAAGCTTTTTTTTTTTTTTTTTTAACGGAGTTTCTCTGGTTTCTGGGGCAACGTCTATCCTGAAGGAGACAACTGTGTTTTCTGTTTCTGCCACACCCACGTGCTTGTGGGCAGTGATGGAGCAAGAGGATGTGTACAGATTACATTGAGTGGCTTCTGTGCATGATGATAATACAAGTAAAGTGCTTTGGGGTCCTTTATGGATGCATGTAGTGCTTCTAATGGGAAGCTTGCCAGAGGTGAAAAAATTGAGTGGTCCCATGGGAGCAACTCCTGGAAGCCTCAGGATTTTCCCATGATGCATCATAAGCTAAAGGATATTTGTTAGGACCAGACTTGATCTTGGATATGTGCATACACACTCACCTCTTTTATCTTCTCTTTATCTTGTCCCAGATTATTTCCACCAATCTATTTTATTTTCAAGCCCCATTCCAGTTTCCCGTATACATATGCTATATGGACCCAGAGCTAGCTTGAAGAAGGACCACTGTAATTGCAGAATGAATGTCAGATCACTAAGGGGGGTGTGTGGGAAATGGGACACTATATAATTTTTGCAACAAATAAATAGTCGTCTTCCGAGAGAAGTTTTTAGTTTGTTCTGCTTTCCCTCAGAACTCCACCATATCTTTTTTAAGTTGGCCTATTTAAGAGGGACAGAATCTCTCAGGCTTTATGACCTGTCATTTCCTGGCACAGGAGCTTTTCATAGAAGCACTGATTTGAGTCATGGAGCACTGAGCACTATCTCTGCCTCACTTCCTCTAGAATTCCCTAAAGCATCACAAAGCTTCATTAGTCCAGACACTGAAATCTACAGGGGACTGAGTTAATTTTTACCTCTGAGTTTTGTCAGAGAGGAGTGGAAGGTGACTAGATTAACCATTTTTTAAAATTATAAAATAATATATGCTTATAGATTAAAAAATACAGATATCCATAAAGGAAAGTCAAGTGAATCTCCCCCAAGCTAACCACTACTAACAGTTTGGTGTGTAACCTTCTAGACAGTTTTTCCATGTGGAAATATACTTCTAAGATTTTTTTTACAAGAAATATACTATACCTGTGGTTTTATTACACAGAATATCTTGGGTATACTTCTGTGTCAATAACGTAGACTTAATTATTCTGAATGAGAAGCCTCATTTTGTCCAAAATATTTGTCCGATGCCCCTTTTTCTTTCAGACCACTGGTTCTTAACCTTTAATGTTTTAAAAATCACCTGGAGGACTTATAAAATACAGAGTGCTGGGCCCACCCCCCATGGTTGCTGATTCAGTGGGTCTGTGGTGATTAGAGACTATGGTGGACCTTAGTGATTTTCCTTCCCTCTTGTTTTGATTTTTTTTCATTCCTTTCAGCAGATGGCCAGAAGAGCCCTTATAAATAAATCTAAGCGATTTCAACTTCAAAAAAAAAAAGAGATACATAAAACTTCAGACTTAGAAAACAAACAAATTGAGCTGAGGGGGCAGAGGAGAGGAGAGGGAGGTACACCGAGGCTGCCTGAGAGGACAGGATTCCTGTAAGGCACCATGTCCAGCAGAGAAACACCAAGGCCCGAAAGAGGGAGAAGAGTTCTGGTCAGGATTTAAGAGGGTGATGGAGGCTCATGCCATGGTACAGGAGTGGGCTGAGTTCTAAAACCAGAGGACATCAGGGGACACCAAATTCTAGCCACTAGGGGTGAGCCTGAGGACAGGAATCAGAGCCAGTGGCGGTTGGGAAGTAAGGCACAGAACCCGATTAAGTTGTGTGCATGCATGTTGCTATGGTGAGCCCTGTTTTAAGGGTGCATATCTCCGGGGATCTAGAACTTTGTTTACGATGGAAAGAGAATATTTTTAGTAACAAGCAATCTTTAGTTTGTTTAATTGGAAGTGGTCTTTTAAATAATAAGGCATCCTGATGTGTTTGATACGAACCAGTTTGCAAACAAATTTTTTTTCAGTCCTACTTTTCAGAAACATTTATTGCACAAAGCAGGATTTTTATCTGTAGAATTCTTATATTTATGTTAGACTTCAGGGAAATTAAAACATGTAGTTAATCGTGTGTGTGTGTGTGTGTGTCCGTGTGTCCGTGTGTCCTTGTGTCCGTGTCCATCCACATCTGGATTTTTAACAGCTTGAAAGCATTCTGAGTTCTTCACAGCTCCTCTATGAAGTGACTATGCAATAATCTTTCATAGTCTACCCAGAAGAAACTAAAACTCAGAAAACACATTGATTCCTTTCCCTTTCTTCCCCCTGTCCAGCCTCTCAGAAAGCATTGAACCAAAAGGATAACATGCTAAACTCAGTCCAACTAACCTCTTATTATGCAGTTAATAACAGCCACTCTATTAGTGGCTTTCTCTATTAGTATTGATTGCTTTTCTTTCCATCTAAGATGCTCTGTTCATTGTTCCCTATGTCTGGTGTGCTTGAAACAAGTAGTTAAAAACACAGTTGTGTCTCAAAAAAAAATCATACTAATCTTTAAGAAGTAATTCTCAAAAAAGTGCCTTAAACTCAAGCCAAATGGCTCACATTCTTTCAGACTGGAGTGGGATTAAACATGGGAGCTAGCCATACGAAGACTGCCTAAAGCATAACAGGGTTTTTTTTTGTTTGTTTTTTTGTATTTTCTTCAGTTTCTAAAGGTGTTCGTACTAAAGTGTGAAACCAAAGAATTGTCTGGCCACGTGAAATTAAATATATCTGAGAATTGTCCTATTTTTAGTTAGCATTTACATAGCATTTTATAATTGCAAGAGAACTTTGCAGTCCATTTTAGTAGCTGATATCATTGAATGGAACATAGCCCAGTCCTTCACTCTACTGTGCGAATCAGACTCTTGTTAAAATGGTAGGCTTGGGGGGCGCCTGGGTGGCGCAGTCGATTAGGCGTCCGACTTCAGCCGGGTCACGATCTCGTGGTCCGGGAGTTCGAGCCCCGTGTCGGGCTCTGGGCTGATGGCTCGGAGCCTGGAGCCTGTTTCCGATTCTGTGTCTCCTCTCTCTCTGCCCCTCCCCCGTTCATGCTCTGTCTCTCTCTGTCCCAAAAATAAATAAATGTTGAAAAAAAAAATTAAAAAAAAAAAATGGTAGGCTTGGCATGTACAAATAGAAATGGATGTAAGCAAAATCTAACTTAAATTCCTGTTGTTAGTGTCTTGTTATTCACCAGGGTCAAGCCAGGTCTCGGT